TGAGAATGTGCTTCATGGGTCTCTAACTACAGGGAGTGTAATTAACCAAGGGCTTTAGCTGCTGTGCTTGAGATAACGTTGCTGTGCTGGTGTAAAGGCCCCCTTTCCCCATGAGCTGTTCCCAGCCCATGATCACATGTCAGAGACACTGAAGCAGATCGTTCACAGGAGAGTCAGGACTTCTCTGCTGGCTTGAGGGCTCCCCAGTGGCTCTGCGGAATCTTCTGTAGACTGCACAACAGTCTACAATGTTTCTATCCACCTTTCTTCTCTCTCTCCTTCACGCAGGGCTAGGTTTGCACTGCTGTCTGATGGATTGTCCAGCCTTTTCCTGCACTCTCCTTTTCCTTCATACAGTCATTTCCCTTAATAAAAGCCTTGCATGTTTAATCTCATTCTGGCATCCGACCTGAATTAAGTAGAATCTAATCTCGGGAACCTTTTTTTTTTTTTTAAGTCTCATTGATCCATGATCTGGTCCTAAGGTTATCATGTGAATGCTAGATTCTATCTTGGTTAAGTTTTTAAAATTTTAATACTTGAAACTTTGTTACATATCCTGGTCCAAGAGTTTTATTTGAAAAAATATTTTTCTGCAAAGAACAAATTTTACACTTTTGAAATAGAAAATCAAGGAGCAATCATCTAGAGAAGGATAGTTAAAAGGTTAGTAAAAGGGAACCATCACAGGGAGAGATTTTGCATGAAAATGGTAACTAGCTAAAATCCTTTACAAGAGGAAGAAACACTGTACAGCAAGAAACACCAAGGCTGAACCTAAGGAGGAATTTGTCCCTGAGAAGTGGAAAAAAGCCATGGGCTAATCTCTGAAAGCAGCTTTTTTTTTTCAAGAGGTCTCAATCCCATGGTTCCTAAATTTAATGTGCACAAGAATCCTCTGGGGAACTTATCAAGACTTTAGATTCCAGCAGAGATTCTCATTCAGCAGGTCTGAATTATTGTTTCTTCTTATTCAGGAATCTGCACTTCTACATGCTCCTTTGGATATTCTGATGCAGGGAATATCTCTGTGGACCATCAGGTGGAACATACTATCCTAGATGGTTTGTCTAGGATAATTTTGTGTTTCAGGATGTACGGAAGCAATGGAATAGACTTGAATGAGTCTTCCTCAGTCAGTCTCAGACTCTGGGCATGATCTATTTGTGTTTTAAAAAGATACCAGAATACTGATTATTTTCTTTCTAAAATTTTCAAGGATATAAATTTAATAATAATTGCATCCTAATGGCATGATTTTCTTCCTCCCCCACTAATTCAGCATCAATCTGACAAATGATTCTCAATCTCTTCCACTATAGAAATAGGATAACAACTATAATTATTTCACTGGGTAGTGGTAATGATGAATGAGGCAAATTATAAAAAATAATTAGGACAATGCTTTTTACATTACAAAGCAGGGATTGGCAAATTTTCTGTAAAGGGCCAGATAGTAAACATTTTAGGCTTTGTAAGCCATACTGTTCTGTTGCAACTACTCAACTCTGCCATTGTAGCTTGAAAGTGACTGCAAACAATAAATGAATAGATGTGGCGGTGATCCAGTAAAATTTTATTTACAGAAATAGGTAAATGGGCAAATAGGTAGTTTACCTCCTTTTGCTGTAAAGCCTTGCTTATTAAATTAAATTATTAATTATTATTGTCGTGGTTATTATTAATATAATAGCTTGCACGTCATTTTTAATAATTAGCAAAGTAATCAGGTTTTAATCAAGAACAAAGTACCTATACCTTCTGCAATTTTTTTTTCAAAGGAATCTGCTTATAAGAACAATGAAAAACAATTCTTGTATTTAAATGCCGGTGTCATGTCAATGGACTTTAAAGAGTTTCCACTGACAGGGATTACCATCACAAGGTTGTAGGCACCTGAGGGACAAAGCTAGGCCAAAGTGAAGAATAATGACCACAACGGCTTTGGAGGAGTAAGAAGAGAAATTTGTCTAAATCTTGAATCTGTGGACTTTTCCCTCTCTTTGAAGGTCTTGTTCTGGGCTTATGGCAGAGTTTATCTCCCAAAGCATGGTTCATGGAAAGAACAGTTGTAGTGTATGTTTTATAACCAGATGTTTATCTATTATGTTGCTCAATGCCTATTGACAATGAATTGCTTTTGACATTTTTAGACTTTAGTTCTAAGCAAATGTTTGCCTCTCCTAACAAACCGGCATGCTTTCTTTTATCAGATGACAAAGAGTACACGCTGTTTTGCTTTTTGACCTTGGTTATTTGTAAGGTTAGAGCTAAATACAAGGTCCAATCATTACAATACTTTTTACCTACTTGGGAGATACATTTTTCCTCTTTGATGCTTGGTTTTTTTCCAAGATGTCAATGATTATCCTAAATGTTGCATAGGTGTTTTTTTATTGTAAATTTCTTTGAACGAATTTTAGATCAAGCTGAAATAGAAACCAAGGATTATATAATTTATATTATATAATTATATATTAAAAGTATATATATATAATTTATATAATATTAATCAGATCTCATTTGCAAGAAGAGTGCTGTTTTCTATGTAAAGTTCCTCCAGAAGGAACATATATGTGATTATAAATAAAATAAGCTCTTAATAAGCATTTAATAATGGAGGTTTTTGTAAATAAGTATATTACGGGGCAAGGTTATGATCTTCAGTTCTAGCGTCAAGCAAACCTGGATTCCAATCCCAGCTCCATCACAAGACCAGCTGTCTGGTCCTGGGCATGTGACCCAGCTGCTCTGAGTGTCAGTTTCATCATCTGTAAAATGGGTATATAACAGCAGCACCCATCTCACAGAATTGTCATGAAAATTAAATGAAATAATACATACGATGTGCACATTGTCTGGTTTGTGATGAGCACTAAATATAGCTGTTATGGCAAGTTTCTTTTTATTTTTACCGCAGTGTTTCTGTTAAAATGTAAGGCAAGTATAAGAAAGATGGCTACTTGCTCAGCTTTCAGTGTGAGGCCCCAAAAGTCTGTCTGAGCATTGCCCTTGTTTTCTAGGCTAATTTCTAGCCATTTTTTTCCTCCAGTATTTTTGAGTGATTCCCCATGAAGCAAAAATGGAGCACGACCTAACATCTGAGAACTGTGCTACCAGAGTCCGGGTTAGAAGACTATCAGGAACAATGTGCAGGAGTTTAAATATTTGCCCACAATTTAAATTTTCCAATGAGTTAAGCCATGGGGCCTGCTTTTCATCCTGTGTAGTTCTACTGTTTTTCCACATGACTCTCTGACATCAGAGCTTGGCAGTACTATTTAGCCAGTGTACTATTATCCTTTTCAGAGATTCTGGTGAACTTGAGGGAAGGGTGGAATGACAAAGAAATGCCATGACACCATTTTGGTTTTATACCTAGACCTAATTCTGCTAACTCTCACTCTGCTTCTCCCAACTCTAACATTCAGAATATAGATTTAATAATTTTTCTTTTAGTCTTCTTTTTTTTTTCTTGAAGTGGTACTGACTGACAATAAAGTCAAAAGCATTATGCTGACAGGTTAGAACCACTGAATCTGGAAAAAAAAAGGCAGCCACAACAGTGAGAAGCCCCAGGAATTTCAGCAGGAAGGAAATTAGGAAAGTGGATGAAGTTTTTCAGTGACCGTGTCTTTAAAGGCTTCAGTATCTGTTGTTTCTGGGTGAAGGTGGCACTCCTGGCTCCCTTCCACTGCCCAGGCCCAACCAGGCGATACTGATAGGAGTTGCAGGGCCCAAAATAGAGTTTCATAGCCAGCTTAGGATCTTTGAACAAGAGAGAGAGGAGGTCTGGCTTTGCACCTATCTCTAAGGCGAGCTCATCCAAGTAGTCGACGTAATTGGTCTGCAGTATCTGGCTCTGGCTCTCTCCAAACCTTAACGAAGGAAGAAAAAGGGGCAGATTCACAAAAGCTTCTCTGTTGTATAAGAACATTAGGCATTCAATAGCTGTTAAAAGAATGAAGGGGAGAATGACGGAATAAATGAGTTTTGAATGAAATCTCTGGTTGTCAAGTGTCAGTTTATCTCATCAGGAGGCCCATATCTCAGATTGAGAGTAGGCTGTAAAATAAAGACCCACGAATTCATGGAAGTTCTAGGAATGTGACAGAATTTACAACCATGATTATTATTTGGTATTTGGTAAGCAGCTTCAAGTCTCCAGGCAAGTAAAACTAGTCAAGATTGCTGCAAAGATTCATGAGATACTGCAGCTGGAAGCATAGCTCAGTGTCTTGCATGGAGGAGATGCTTAATATTTCCCTGTTAAATTATTAAGGTACCTGGCACTCTGGCTGGCATGTGTTAGATAAGTGAGAATTTGAACGTGAGATAACCCCTATATGTGATTTGAGGCCCCTCAGTCAACTTTCCAAGGGTACTTGATCACTACTGAACTCCTTTCCACTTTATCACAAAGTATAAATCCCTGACCCTTTACTTCACATCAACTCCCCCAGCTAACTTTTCAGAGATACTCAGACTACTGCCACCACCATTGTCCCCCATTCCATTCCCTCTTTAGCCACAGAGTGTGAGAGGATACAGAATCTAACATGGACTTCATACAAAACTGAAATAAAGTTAAGTCAAGGGAAAAATGTTCTGATTTGGTGAAATTTCTGTTTTTAAGTAGTTGGTTCTTAAGCTAGTGTGTGTGAGAATCACCTAGGAAGAACATAAACGTGCAGATGTGCAGCCCCATACAGAGATTCTGATTCAGTTGGTCTGGGCTGTGGCCCAGGAATTTGCATTTTAAAGAAGCAGGTAGTTGGTTCTTTGGGGAGACAGATCACCAGACTTGGAGAAACACTACAATGTAAAGAGTTAAAACAAATTCTTATAGGTCAATTCTTTTTCCATTCCTCTTGATAATGTCTGCCATCGTAGTTCTCTCTGAGAGCAAGGTACACAAGCCTAGGGAAAAAAAGCTGGCTTGAGTAGTGGGTCTGGTTCAGTATCATTGCTTTATCTAGTAGTTGATCCCTACACTTAAATTCTGGCCATTTCCCTATGTTATACCAAGTCAGGGCTGCTATGCGATTGAACTCTGGGCTGTGCCACTTGCCTCTGGGTTCTACGTGATACTGCCCATGGATCACCAGGGTACACCAGGAGGTGGATGGGGCAAGAGAAGAGGCTGGAGAGGGATGGTAAGCCTGATAAGTCAGGAAGCCATTCCAGGTGGCTTGAGCTCCATTCTGAAGGTGATGGGAAGCTGTGGGAGGGTTTTCTGCAGGAGCTGACATATCAGATTTGCCTTTTGAAAAGATCCTTCTAGCCACTGGATTTTGGAAAATGGGGTCTGGAAGGGGAGTTTAAAGGCAGCAAGAATAGTTAAGAGGCTGTTGAAGAAAACTAGGTGAGAGACTGGTGCCAGCTAAGATGGGGTAGTGGGGATGGAGAGAGAAGATTGAAGTAGGTTATCGTTGTGTGCTTATGATTCCATTCCCTGTCCCAAGTGTCCTCTGAGCTTCAGACAGGTTGAAAAATGATCAGCTCCTCTGGATCTGGCTAGTCTTCAGACATTTCAGATTCAATGAGTCCAAAACTGAGCTCATCATTGAAGTCTTCCTGCTCAGACTTGCATCTTCTGTGTGTCCCCTCTCTAGTCACAGCACTGCTCTCTACCCAGTTTCCATGGCCTGAGATCTGCAAGTCACCCCTGGCTCCTCTCTCTTCTTCTAATTTTTCTATGTGGAGCCAAGCATTATGTCCTGCTGATGTTTCTCTTAACTATGTCTCAGGTTGCATCACATTTTAGCACAGTAGCCTTTTCACTGGTCTCTGAGACTCCAATCATTTCCATTTTTCAAATCTATCTTCCACACTAATTCTGAAATAACCTATCACAAATGTAATCTGATAATGTCTGGTCCTTGCTTAGAACCTTTCACTGGGTCTTCTGGCTGAAGAGCTTTCTTAAATGGAGAATCTAGGTCTTCAGTCCAGACTTAATCAGGGTCCCTAAGAGTCTACAAGATGGTTTTTATGTGTAGCTAAGTTTGGGAGGAGCTGATCTACATTTTATATTCAAGCTCCTTATCATGCCTTACAAGGTTCCTGTGTCCTGGTCCTTTCTTCTCTAAGAATAATCTCTCACCCTTCTCTGCCTCACACCTCATGTTCTAGCAATGTCAGATAGCTTGTAATTCTTCGTATGTCTTACGCCCCCTGTGTTCTGACTCAAGCAATTCCCTTTTCTGCACCTGGGAAAATCCAGCTATCCAGGAAATTTTCCTTGACCACATGCCCTCCCTTTATCCCACTCTGGTGTTGCTAAGCACCCTTTCTCTTCTACCCACACACTCCATGCACTCCTCTACCAAAGCATTTGTTTTATTATGTTGAAATGATTTGCCTAAATTTCTCTCTATCCCACCAAGTTCCAGCACAGGGCTAAGTATTCAATAAGTTTCTGCTAAGCTGAACTGAACCCTGGGATGAGGGACATACTAATAGCCATTTTTAGGAGTGCAATGTGCTACACAATGCTCAGATAGAAATATTTTAAATAATTTTATAGCTTTGTAGGGATCTGTGAGATTGAGCTACTTAGGTATTAAGAGAAAATTTGGAACGCTCTTCTCTTCTCTGCCATCCTATGTGTGGTTGAATTTACTCCTTGCCATGTCTTCTCACAAGACTTTCGGGATCAAGAGATTCCTGGCCAAGAAACAAAACGAGGTCACTTGCATCTTACCATGTCACTCTGAAAATACCACTACTATATGAATGGCTGGATGTGTTTAATCGGGAAAATGATTTTTCTCTTTGTGTCCGGGTTTCTGCAGTAGTGCTTTGGCTCAGTAATAAATATGCAAGATAAAAACAATAAATAAAAAAGAGCTAATTTGGAAACAGGCATGGAGTAGGCCCTCAATCTCTTGATTTGTGCATATTCTGAGGAATTTATAAACATCATGTAGGTAAAACCAGGAGTCATAGGTGGTTTCCTTCTTAACTGTTCTCGCATTAGTCCAAGAGAAAATATGTACTTAACTTCATGCCAACTGAAATTCTCTGAATTTTCTAATATTTTAAAGGAATGATTACAGATATATATTATCATTATTATATTTCTGAATTTGTTATCTTGTGAATTCCCTGCTAACTTTTTAGGATGTTAATTTTGTGAGAGCAGCCAAAATTGGCAGCCTTCTTGTTGGTGACCTCCTTTTCTAAATTTGTTCTTGAGTAAAATCTACCAGGTGTGAAACCCTCAGCTACTCACTTGTCCACTCACTTACCTTTGAAAATTCTTGTTATCCAACGAGCCTGAAGTTCAACAGTTGGGAAAATGGAACCTAGGGGCTGGATGAGACCAATGCATACAAGGGTTGACTTCTCCAAGTGAGGAGGGAACATATATTTGTACAGCAAGACCTTATTATTCTCTACTTTAACAAGATGATCTTCAAGGAAGGGAAAAGAGACAGTATATCCTGTTGCAAAGACAATGACATTGATGTCCTCCTCCACTGTGCCATCTTCAAAGATGGCAGAAGTTTCTGTGAGCTCTTTCACTCTTGATTTCACCTTGATGGCTACATAGAGTATACGACTTGGAAGATCATCATTTAGTACAGGTTCTTTCATAAGGTATCTGAAACATGCAGAAGAAAACACTCAGAAGGAGTACTTAAGGAGAGGTCTTGAATTCTCTTAATATTTTATGGGGTTGGCTTTGAGAATGAAGAGGTTTGCCAAATATCCATAAAACGTTCTAAGTTGATTGGCTGGCCTACCTCCCAACAGTGCTATCTGACTTTATTCTCGTGTTACATATCTCTGTGGAAAAACATGTAGGTGATGTGGGTAAAAGACATTTCAAAAAAGGAGGCATCCCTAAGGGCTTAGACAAAATGCCAGGGCATATGGTCAATTCTTAAGTATTCCAGTTTTTATTATCCCACTGATGTTTTTACTGTTGTTTTATGTTATCTACCTTCAATTATCTTGCTGTTCCACTAAATGTCTATTTGATCATAAGAAAGGAAAAATTTGTTAAATTCACATTAGTTTTGAAACTTCTTAAGGGATTAGTATGAAAATTAATGCATAGAATTAAGTTTTCTTGATCCTAAATATCCAGAGTCTCTGTATATGATAGCATGGATGATGGAGCAAATTCTGCTTGTATTTCTGGAATTTCCTTTTTTTTTCTTTTGTAGATTTGATAACCAGTTTTTGAAAAACTTAGAATACATTGCACATGAATCAGATTTCAGAATATAGCAGCCACATTGCATTAGTTGAAAGATTGCAAAGCTCCTTTTTTTTTTAAAAGGGAAGGAACCTGTTATCAACTAAAGAAAAACATCCATTTGTTTGCTTGTGTTTATAAGATCAGTGATGTATAACCTTGAGATTAATAGGCAGTGATTATGTTCTTAAAAGCTACCCATAGGAAGAACCCTTATGGTGTACAGAGTTAGCAGCATAACAGATACAGAATTTAGGTCAGGTTTCCCACTCCACCCTCTGAAAGGAAGGTAACAATCTTTTAAAGCAGTCTTTTCCAATGTGGGACAGATCTAGGTATTAGGAAGTTCTACCCATGATCCTAGTTCTACTTTCTGGAGCAGCTCATAATATTTATACTTCATCTACTTAAATATTTACTTTTTAAAAGATATACAGAACAAATTTGGAGTTCAACATCCAGGGCATATATGATACCATACTGTTAGTTTGTAGTTTGAACAACCATGTTAGCATTTTGGCTCTTTGCATAGAGAAGCATTTCTGAAAACCTTGATTACCAATTAGTATATAAAAAGGCAAAATAACTCTACTTGTTTTGTGGAATAAGGCCATAATTTTCATGGTTGAACCAACGATTCATCTGTTGTTCTGTCATCCATTTTACAACTTTTCGTGGCAGGACATTTCTGAGCATGGAGCTAAACTGGGTGTGATACACCATGTCCCAAGGATAACCATCTTCAGAGATACGGCGCAAGATCCAGGAACCATGTCTGGTGCTGATAAACACCTGGTGAGTAAAAAGGAGTGCAGTTTACATTAGGGCATCATCCCTTTGGGAAGAAACCCACTACATATATATCACATGTATGGCTCCAGAATTTGCTGTAATGTGTTTTAAAGACGATTGACCTCAAAATGAAGTACTTTCTAGCCTTCTTGCTAAAATCTGAACAAGGCAAGGATGCCCACTCTCACCACTTCTATTCAATATAGTATTGGAAGTCCTAGCCATAGCAATCAGACAAAAAAAAGAAATAAAAGGAATCGAAATTGGAAGAGAAGAGGTAAAACTGTCACTAAATGCAGATGATGTGATACTATCTAGAGAAAACCCTAAAGATTTCACACAAAAACTACTATAGTTGATAAACAAATCCATCAAGGTAGCAGGATATAAGATTAATATACAGAAATCTGTTGCATTTCTTTACAGAAACAATGGAATATCAGAAAAGGAAAGTTAAAAAAATCTTTTAAAATCACATAAAAAATACTTAGGAATAAACCTGACTAAGGAGGTGAAAGACTTAAAAATTTTTTCCCTTACACCATACACAAAAGTAAACTCAAAATGGATCAAAGATGTAAATGTAAGACAAGATACAATAAACCTCCTAGAAGAAAACATAGGCAAAACATTATCTCACAAATACATCTCAAAAATGTTCTCCTAAGGCAGTCTACCCAAGCAATAGAAATAAAAGCAAGAATAAACAAATGAGACCTAATGAAACTTACAAGCTTCTGTGCAGCAAAGGAAACCATAAGGAAAACAAAACAACAACCTACAGAATGGGAGAAAATTTTTGCAAACGATGAAACTGACAAAGGCTTGATCTCCAGAATATATAAGCAGCTCATATGACTTAATAAGAAAAAAACAAACAACCCAATCCAAAAATGGGCAGAAGACCTAAACAAGCAATTTTCCAAGGAAGACATACAAATGATCAATAGGCACATGAAAACTGCTCAATATCACTAATTATCAGAGAAATGCAAATCAAAAGTACAATGAGGTATCACCTCACACCAGCCAGAATGGCCATTATTCAGAAGTCCACAAATGACAAATGCTAGAGAGGCTGTGGAGAAAAGGGAACCCTCCTACACTGCTGGTGGGAATGCAATTTGGTGGAGCCACTGTGGAAAACAGTATGGAGATTCCTCAAAGGACTAGGAATAGACTTACCATATGACCCAGGAATCCTGCTCCTGGGCATATATCCAGAAGGAACCCTACTTCAAAATGACACCTGCACCCCAATGTTCATAGCAGCACTATTTACAATAGCCAAGACATGGAGACAGCCTAAATGCCCATCAACAGATGACAGGATAAGGAAGCAGTGGTATATTTATACAATGGAACACTACTTAGCCATAAAAACGGACAACATAATGCCATTTGCAGCAACATGGATGTCTCCAGAGAATGTCATTCTAAGTGTAGTAAGCCAGAAACAGAAAGAAAAATACCATATGAGATCGCTCATATGTGGAATCTTAAAAAAAAAAAAAGAACATAAAGACAAAACAGAAACAGACTCATAGACATAGAATACAAACTTGTGGTTGCCAAGGGTGGTGGGAAGGGACAGACAGGGAGTTTGAAATTTGTAGATACTGACAGGCATACATAGAATAGATAAACAAGATTATACTGTATAGCACAGGGAAATATATACAAGATCTTGTGGTAGCTCACAGCAAAAAAGAATGTGAAAATGAATGTATGTATGTTCATATATAACTGAAAAATTGTGCTGAAAATTGACATGACATTGTAAACTGACTATAATTTTATTGAAGTACAGTCAGTAGTAATGTGTCAATTTCTGGTGTACAGCACAGTGTCCCAGTCATGCATATACATACATATATTTGTTTTCATATTCTTCTTCATTAAAGATTATTGTAAGATATTAAATATAGTTCTCTGTGGTATACAGAAAAAATTTTTAAAATCTGTTTTTATATATAGTGGCTAGCATTTGCAAATCTCAAACTCCCACATTTATGCCTCCCAACCCCTTTCCCCCAGTAACCATAAGATTATTTACTATGGGAGTCTGTTTCTGTTTTGTAGATGAGTTCATTAGTGTCCTCTTTTCCTCTTTTTTTTTAGATTCCACATATGAGAGATATTAGCTTGTGAAGTAGTACTTACATAAAATAGTGTTGAATTGTTGGTCTGTGTGTGGTTATATACTTATGTCCCGATTTTTTTCCCACTGTTGCACTTTGGTTGACTTGGCAACACTTTGATTAGGTATTAGATAATATACTTGAATATTTCCATGAATGTCCCTTCCCATTACTTATTGTCTGCTCTTCTTTCTTGGGATCAATCCATGTTTTGCATTGGGAGCTCTGCCTATTTTATTCACTCTCTTTCTGCTGTTACCATTTCTCAGCAGGGGAGTCTAACCCGGCTAGCTCCACCACCTGCAATAGTATGCTATGCCTGAGGATTTGAGGTCAGGGGTTATTTCTCTGAGATGCATACTGCAGGCCAAGGGCCGAAGATTTGGTTTTTGGTGGGGAAGTGTATGGATGACTCAGCACCATCCCATAGTATTTTGAGTGGTGCTCTTGGATGATGGTAGAGATTGCTGCTGTAAACTTATGATCGTGAACTTCCTTTAACAGATGCAGGGTACACTCAGGAGTATGGTGAGTTTAGGCTGTGATTTTTAAGCTTTGCAGTACCTGATTCTCTCCCTTACATACATAGCTCCTATGAAGTCCCTGGTGAGTCTTCTCATAGAAGGATTGAGAGTACCTTGCTCTGTGTAAGAGACTCTATCATAATTATCTGTTGTGTTATTAATCTAATATATACCTAAAGAGATACTCTATTTGAAAGATTCATGAGCTGGAATGCACACAAATATAGCCAGGGTGGTTTCTTAATATTGAATTTGGCACAGTAGACAGGCTTTTTACATGGTAAGACCCATTTAAGGAAATAGACTCTTACAATCCAAGATTTGATATCTTTGGAATTCTGCTCTAAGTCCAAATCATTGACTTGACAACATGTAGTGGTCTGGTACAGAGCGTCACTTGGTTGAGAGCTATACTCCCTTCCTTAAGCTTGGCAGGTATTTCCAGCAGGTAGGAGGCTGGAGCTGGTGGCTCCCCTATCTGAGTTGGCTCTTTAAGACTTTACAGTTACTGCCTCCTCACTTGTTCTTCACGCTGAGGTATTACAGCTTTGAAAAGTGAAAAGTGGTTTATTTTCACAGAAAAGGTGAGGACCTCTTGGGTCTAGTAAATCTCTTTCTGGTGTTAGTGACCTACTCGGTCCCCAGGGTGATAACTCTGACAGGTCCCAGTGAAACCCCTTCATGGTGCCGTTGATCACATTTGCTTCTGGGCATCCTGAGCCCTGACAGTGTGAGACTCAGGACAGGACAGTTTTGCTGGTTGCAGACATGGCCATGGGAAGTCCTGTGTAGCCAGAGGAAGCCAGGAGGGCATGCTGGGGGCCCTGGCCCTCTTGAGAGGGAATGCACTGGGGAGAAGAACCTTGGCTATTTTCCCATCTTTGCCTAGGTCTGTCTTTCTCAAAGTGATTTTTCTTTTTTTTGGTGTTCACAAAAAATAATTTTCTTCTAATTCTTTCTGGTACACAATTAAACATTTCCCAGCCAGAATGGAAATAGTCAAGACAGTAGTGTTTCTTGTAATACCTTATAAACAACAAGACGCAGTCACATCCCCTAGAGCTAAATAGGTAGTTGGCCTGTCTTCCATGTTATCCCAGGTGATAATTTTATCAAGTGGATTTTTTTTCCCTGCCATTTCCAACCATCTCTGTCAGCATTATCTGCAAGTTGTGATGTTTGACTCTTTGGCAGCTAAGCTGTGTCATTCCTGAGTAGGCATAAAGATAACAGCAGTTGGAAGGCTTCAGGGAGCACCTTGTGATCTTGGCTGGGAGTCTTAACTGTTTATTTAATCTTTCTTTTCATGATTCTTGGTAACTATGGACTGTTTACATTTCAAATAGGATTCAAATATGCACTAAGTTTGTAAAAGGCACTCCCCAAAATATGAGGAGTTCAACTTCTTGAACCGCCTGGGTAGGAACAAGGCCTCTTGTGCAGAAAGTCATCTGGTCCAAACTCAAGTGAAGGAACCATAGCCCAGAGAAGTAAAATGACTCACTCTGGGTTGCATGGCTGATCAGTGGCAGAGCTGGGAGACAAACTCTGGCTTCTTGATTTCCAGATTTTCTGCAATACCACACTGAACAACCAACTAATCAACCAATCAACTAATCAACCAATTAATGAGCCATGGTTATATCGCTGAGATTTTCCAATATGCCCCTCCCCTCTTTTCTCCCCCTTACAGTACGATGTAAGCAGAGAGCATCATACCTGAGCAGCCTTCTTACTCAGCTCGATGGCGATATCTGAGGCTGAGTTTCCCATCCCAATCACCAAAATGTGTTTCCTTTCAAACCCCTCTGGGTGCTTATATTGGCGGCTATGGAAATACTGGCCTTTGAACTTCTGGATACCTTCAAGGGAAAGAGAGACATCCATGAACTATGTCAAGTTAATTTCAGTAAAGCTGTATGCCAGCTTTTCCTTTCTGGGGTCAGTCGTTTGTTTTGCCTCTTTCCCTGTTAGAGGAGTTACAACATCAAGACCAATGAGCAAATTCAAAGTATGGTTAGGATGATAGCACTTCATGTGTAATAACTAGAAGTGTAATAATTAGAAGAATATTTATCATTCTTATTTTTCAAGAGCAAACAAAAACTAAAATAAGCTAAAAACAAGGCACATTGGAAGGTGAGGGATGGTTTCCACGTTGCAGTAAGTCAGCAACTTAATGGACAAGCCTTTTTTTTTTTTTTTTGAAGATAAGCATCTCTGTGTCTTTTCCCAGGAAAACGGGACTTTATCAAAGTCTTTGTCTTTGATGGTGGGTTGCTTGAAATAGCCTTTGGATCATTAGCTCTTGAAGTGTGGTTCCTTGGCCAGCCGGTATTATCATCACCTGGGAACCTGTTAGAACTGCAAATTCTGAGCTTCACACCAGACTGGCAGAGCTGGGAATGCTAGGGGTGGGGCCTAGCAAGTTGTGGTTTTAAAAGCCCTCCAGGTGATTCTGTTTGAGAGTTTCATTGCTTTAGACCAGCAAGCTGCAATTCGGGCTGCATATTGAAATCACTCAAGCAACGCTTAATGGACCTGGGCACACCCTATACTAAATGAGTCTTTGAAGATCATTAGAGCTTTAAAAGCTCCTCAGGTGGTTTGAATAATGTGAGGCTGGGACTGAACCACTGTATTAAAGGTTTTCCTGACCGCCTTGGAAAGGAAGTATGCTCTCTGAGGGAAGGGCCTGGGAGCTTCCATCTTCCCCTGCTTTCCCCACATCCATCACTGCCCGGTAGGAGCATGTGCTTCCAGAAACTCTCCCCAGTAACCCTGGCTGTGGGCATGGTTCTGTGGAAAAGTCTCCAGGGTTGTAACAAAGTCATGAAGGTTTGGCAGGATGGAAAAAAGCCAAGGGAGGCACAGGGCTGAAAAGGCCTCTCCAACAGAGAACTAATTAGGGTGAGAATTCTCTGAACTTCTAAGATTTAATGACTTTGGGGGAGGTTGGCTGAATTTCCTGATAATGAAGACCTGGAGATCAACAGAAACAAAGATGCTCTTTGGAGACTTCGAAGTGTCTTTCTAGCTCTATCCGGATCTTAATGTTACACCCAGTTGCAGCAGCTGGTTCTGCCTGTCAATCCAACCTGGACATCTAATCCAAAAAGCTGGGGATCCCCGCAGGCCTCACCTGGAAATGAGTCCAGTGGGATGTTAGGGACGATGTGATGGCCACTGTAAACCATGACTGCATCAAAGACAGCACTTTGCTCCTTGCCGTTTCTCTCAGTAACAACCACCCATTGGCCAGAGGATAAGAAATCCGGGTGTTTTCTCACACTGAGGATGGTTGTCTTGAACCCAGAGAAGGCATCATTGAGAATTACTCTGGCACAACAGGGGCCTTGTCCAGGGTGCCCTGGGAGTGGGGATGGGTAGAGTGCAATGTACCTCTGACTCCATTTAGGTTCCCTTTGAATCCATTTCAAGCCTCTTAAGGCAAAGACTCTAAGTGCGCCCTGCTCCTTCTTCTTTGGAAGGTGCTACCAGTGCTGCTTTGTGCTAGAGGCCTAACTCAGCAGTGGGAACGAGTGTGTGAAGGACTGAATAAGGACTTGAGAGAGGCCCAGAAAAGGAAGATGAGCCCTGGGCAAGGTACAAAATACATGTTAATCACTCAAGAGATTGCACAGTCAGTATTTATCAAGAACCCTTTTTTGTGTTCACCTCTGTGCAGACTCTGTGTTAGAAAAGATATTCCATGTGAAGCCCTTTGCACAATGACAGCAGTCCATAAATGATAAGTCATTCATATTTATTATTTTTAAAACAGAGTACATCATATTAGCAATACACTTCATGATCTGATTTGGATGAAATAATTTATTGGTTCATTGATTTTTTTTTTAATGTTGTTTGCTGTCTGGAGGTTTATGAATTTTTTAAAGTGTGCGTAAATGTTGTCTGTGTCTGCTATATATATAAGAAACAATGTCAAAGGAAGCAATGCTTTTCTCACTTCCAGAGGAGTTGCATGATTCTCCTCTTGTTGGCAAGTATTCGAGTTCTTTATACATGCTTTTCACATTTTCAGATATTTTTCACAATGCTGGGTTGACAAATTTTGAAGCTGTTCCTATTAAAAATGTATATGGAATGCTAGCATAAATCTTGTGAAAAGCCTATAAAATGTCTAGGCATTTTCAGCTGAGAGTAAAGATTTCAGATTAGTAATTCAGGGTAGTATATTCACTAAAGTACTGTGGATTCTTGCTATTTAAAATGTGGTGCCAGGACCAGCCTTCAGTATCACTGAGAGTTTATTAGAAATGCAACTGACCTGAGCTGGTTTGCTCCCCTTAGGTAACCTGGTGGTTCTTTGCTCCTGGGAGCTTGCCATGTTGATACAGAACTTAGAGTGAGCACCTCCTTTTACAGTTTGAGTTGAGCCCCTAACATCTTATGACTTATACCAACTTTGAGACCAATAGATGGAAAGTGAGTTTTCAGAACCCCTCTCCAACCTCCAGAAAACAACAGCAGTAAAACAATAAATAAGAGAAATAGAAACTGGGGGAAAACTGCATTAGATAGAATGGAACATTTTAATGGTATTTATATATGTAGATTTCCACCAAATCACCGATTATAAATGAATGTAATACAAACCTGGAATAAAACTAAAATTACTGAGAAAATGAGATATGTTTAAAAAGCTCCGCTTTATTTATTCAGAGATAGAATTTAAATTTTATTTCCTAAGCATAGTTACTAATTTTCAGAGTGTAGGTTATTGATAAAAATTCAGGATGTTTAATGAGAATATTGTCTTTTTTTCTTGTTGATTATTAGTTTTTGAGGAATCACAGGAAAGGTAGTTACAATTGTATTTCAAAATGATCTGACTATTCTTATGTTGCTGGAGAATGCATCAAAAATTAGCAAAAATAGTTTCTACAGGCTTCTGGGATGAAAGGAGAGCTGTGAGTTTATTTAGTCCATTTTTCTAAGAAGTTGCATTTCTATGGAGAAGGTAAGAATATGAAATAACAGTATGATTTTTTTAATATGTCCTTTTAAAGGAAATGAGTCTTTAATGGTTATAAATATTAGTTTAGATGCAGTTTCACCATCAATATCATCATTCAAACCATTAATTTTAACAGATATTTTTCTTCTGTTAATGTACATAATCTGTAATATCGGGGTAATGACACTACTTTTTGGGCTTTCTACCATGCTATTGTTTTTTCAGGAAATAATCAGATTAGAATACTTTGTTTTATTCACAATTACTTTCATTAGCAGAGTAACTTCTCTATTTAAATGGGAGCTAAACTAATGTGGAGAAAACCATTCTCCCCCCACAAAATACAATACCTGGAACTGAATATATTTTAGAAGATCAAACTTTTTGGCAAAAATCCTGAAATATTCCAGGAACTTAGAATTGTGCAAGAAGTTTGGAAAGTCTTCAGGCATTGGAGAGTCACTGAAACAGGACATTTCTTTGCTGGTGTTGGTGATGACGGATTGATAGATACTCGCTCGGCCGTCTTCAACATTTTCCTAAAGAATCAAATCAAACAGTAATAATCATGTCTTTAAAAAAAATCCCTTGGTTTCCTACTCTTTGTCCAAATCTCGCCCCTGTGTGATGTGATCCTTTTTCATTGCTGCAGTGTGACTGAAACATCTGGATGACGAGACACAGCAAATGTGCTCTATCACCCTGTGCTCTAGGGCCAGAGGGGCTGTCCCCATTGGTGGGACTGGGAGTGGGGACCGTCCTTCTCTGACACACTGCAGGATACTTAGCATCCCACGTCTATACCTATTTAACATCAATCATTGTGGTGACAACCAGCCCCTTTCTGAAATTCCCCCTGGGGAGGCTATACCCATCTCCCACCTCTTTAGGAACCAAACCCTGGGACACTGGTCAGAAAACATAATGGAGAATTTCAATTAAAATGACTACTGTTGGTGGCAGGTGATTTTCACATCTTAATTTGAATCCCTTGCCTTCATTTTATGCTCCATGCAAATGAACCTTTCTCAAGTGATAACGGTGAGTAACATTAATGCCAATCGAATCCTAAACTTGATGCTAAATGTTAGCAAGTAGGCTTTGGTAGAACAGGAGGCAGCACCTGCTGTGGTTGAGTTTACAATTTCCTCTACAAGAAGTGCTCTGCCTACTGATAATGTTCTTTATGTTAAATCATATAGGAGCCAAGTACAGGGAGTCAATGTCTGTGAAAGCAGCATGGTATCAAAGAGGCTTTTATAAGAAATTTAAATAATGCCACCCAAGAGCTCCTCAATAGATGCTTCTGCATTTGCAGGGACTAAGGCATAATCTCTAGGTGCTGTTAAGATTTAGCACTAGGGTGGGGTGTAAAGAAATGGAAAGGTTGTAGGAACTCATAGATTAATTGCAATGAATTACTTAATCTTACATAAACCACATTATAATCTCTTCCACAGAATGATAAATAAAGGAAAGTAAATATTCAACTCTAATTCCACTGCCTCAATAAATCAGTTGTGCATGTTGCTTTCTCATCATTCATAGAAAATCATTACTTTCCTGGCAAGTCTTTAGATCAAGCCTCCTTAGATTTTCGCAACACCAAGAGAGGCAGCCTGGATTAGCAGAAAGTGGTCTTTGGAGTTAGAGGTTTGAACCCATCTCCTTCAGGCTGGGTGAGCCTGGACCAGCCAGTGCCCCGGAGCTTCAGCCCTCTCGTCTGTAAACTAGAGATGTTCCAGGTGCTCAGTGGTGTCATCATTGTTCCATGTTCCTGAGGAAGCTATAAGCTGCAGCAGAGGCGTCAGCTACACAGCTCACTGTTCACCACAGTAGAAGAAAGGCACCAGGCAGCTACTCTGACACCATAGAACCGATACAGGCAGACTCACTATCACTGTCTGAGTTTTCTGATGTTTCCTATACAAGGAGTTGTTCTTGGTTTCAAAGAATTAAAAAAAGAGCAGGCTGAGGGATCTTGCCTCTTTTATTAGCAAAGCTCTGTATATGTGTTGGGCTTCTGTGTCTTAATTTCAGGGATTATCTGCACTAACATGAGTTACCAAAGCTAAAGTGACATTTGCTCTCAGATGATGCCATTTAAAAGCAATGTGTAGAATCCTTGCTAAATAAAAGTCTGCTTTTAAGCTCCTCCTCCCTCATACATTTCACTTTTTCTCTTTCTTCCTCATTGATTCATTCATGTATGCATGCATTCATGCCTACCATAGGCCCTTTTCCTTGAGCAAGGTGTTTAACTTTCCTAGTCCAGAGTCAGGGCTCAGATGATAACAGTGTTACAGTTTTAAGTGGCTTAGTTAAAATTAGTCAGGTTAGGGCATGCCAGCTTTCTAGGTAATTAATTTGGTTGGTGTTACTATTAACTGTATTAGAATGCAAAGAGAGTTAGAATATGAAGTGCTTTCTGTCTGATACGCAGGGATACTACGATCTGAACTCTGGATGAATAACTCATGGTAATTTTATTTAGATTTCAAATAAATCTAGCTTCAAATTGCACAATACAGTCCTCCTTTGATACTTATAGACGTTTGGTCCCAGGCCCTCTTGTGAATGTACGCACCCATGGATGCTCAAGTTCATTCTGTCAAATGGTGTACTATTTGCAAAGAACCTCCCCGTATCCTCTCATATACTTTAAATCATATCTCTAGATTACTTACAATACCTAATACAATGTACATGCTATGTTAATAGCCAACGTGGCAAATATAAGTTTTGCTTTTTGGAACTTTTCTGGATTTTTTTCCCCCCAAATATTTTCAATCCACACTTGTTTGAATCTTCAGATGTGATATGGAGGGCCAACTATATTGAGTTAAACTGATGTGCAAACTATTTCTGGATGTTTCAACATGATTGAACACAATGTCCTTGGCAAGACTGAATGTCTGAGTTTCTTATCCAACCAAGTTCTCAGAATATTCCATGAACCAAACAACAAGACCAGATAATTTTATAAGTAATACAGAGCGGAGTCTGGAGTCAGACTGAGTTGATATCTAAATCCTCCCACCTTTAATGGCTTTATAACCATGGGTAAGTTACATAAGGTAGAATCCTCATGTTCTCCTGTAAAACGGGGTTCATTAATAGTTCCAACATTATGCAATTGTTATGAGGCTTTGATGAGATTAAATAAAGTACTTAGCACAATGCCTGACTCTAAATTTTTTGCCTCTATTACCGTTACTACAGGCCACTGGAGTTAGTCTTACTAAACCAGTCATAGTTTTGAAATAGCTACACTAAGATTGACTATTACACTATAGCCAACATGTTTTTTCAAGTGCCTTAAGTTGGCTTTCAAATACGGTGGGCTCCTCTGCTAGGTCAATTTTTAGGGGATTTCGAGTGATGAGAAGAGCTGGTTCTGATGTCTGAGCCCCTAGAGTAACTTCAGAGCCAGGGCACATCTCTCCTTTAGGGGCCTTACTTGTGCAGTTTGTCAGCAACTGATGATGACATCACAATTATTTTTCTGAAGGTCAAGTAATAATCTTTATTGTTGGGCTGATTGGTATATAGCTATGAAAAAAAGCTTTGTCTCTAGATATACTTCTTCCTATGTTGGCTGAAATAGGTGTCTATATGATTTGACAGATCTGGGTAAAGTCAAGTTTGCTTGGGTTATAAAGGGAAGGTGATTCTCATTAATAAACAGATATGTATCATCTGTCTCTCCCGTCCAGGCCCTGAGCTTGGAGCCCAGGATAAAATGCAACCAGGACACATAGTTGCTATCTTCGTGGAAATTGCTATTATGTTGCATGAAAGTCCTTTTAGGGTGTAGGGATGGAAAGTGGAGACAGAATAAGATGAGAGGCTTTTCTCTCAACCAAGACAAGGACAGGAGACACAGCTTTCAAAACAGATAAATATAACTCACATATTTACTTAAAAATACAAGCACTGCCTAAACATGATATTTAAGCTCAAATACAGACAAATAGTCTGAATTCCCTAGCAGATAGAATTTGCTATAATTTACTTGTTTAAGAGAAATGATCCTATGATGAGTATTTTCATAGTGTAAACTTTGCTGAATGTCAGACTGTGTAGCGAAACCAAGCTAGTTCAGACAGCACTGATTTAGAATTTATGATCTTTTGATCATAGGCTGGACGGAAGTTTATCTTTGGCTCTATAAAAATAAAAAGGTTGTAAAAACTGAATTAAGTTTAAGAAAGTTTATAAGGGTAATATTTAACCTACTAGAGGGATCAAGCTTATAAAGCAAAAATAGATCAACTTATCACAAATGTGACTCTAAAAGCTTAGTCTTTTTCCTTATGAAACATCATTATCTTGACCTCTACCAGTCAATAGTGTGTTCTCGTGGCTAGTTACTCCAAGCAGTTGGAAATAATAACATTCTATTTCTTTAAACATATTCTATTATTCCACATTTTCACCCTTTCAGGTGGACCTTAGAACTGTCTGCCCCATTGCTTGAAATAAGTGTAATTGAAAAGCTCTTTTCATTTTCTTGTCTTACAGTGAGGGGGGAAAACTGTTGTTCCCAGATGCTGTCTGCTAGCCTGTGGGCTAGTTGGATTTGAAGAATTCAGGGGAACCTTGAAAAATAGAAAGTCTGAGTAGGTCTGGTTTGGGCTCAGACACCTATATTTTAGAAGTGCTCCCCAGCTGATACGTATGTATATACAGTGAACACTGGGAAACAGCATCCTAGCTCGGGTGTCCCTGCGGTCTGCCATCTCCCCATTCCACTGGTACTTCCCTGATTGCTGGCCTTGATCACTGGCAGAGCCTTCTAACGAAACTCCCTGACTCAGATATTGCCCACTTTCTTCACTGACTTCAAGGTAATGGGTTCACTCACTGGCATGTGGCAAAAGTCCCTCATAAGGAGACCCTGGCTATTCTCTCGAGTCTCATCAGTTATCACTCAGCTGCCTGCATCCTTTTTTCCAGCCATATCACATGACTTTCAAGTCTCCGAGGGTGTCAGGTTTCACAAGCTTCCATGCCTTCGCACATGCCATTTGCTCTGCCTAGAACATTGTTTCTTCATATTCGCACGCCTGATCTCTGCTTACTGTCAAGACAAATAAAAGCATCATGCTCTCTAGGAAGCCTGCCTTAGTCTCTGCTGAGTGAGATTCTGCAGTCTCCATGACACTTAGTGTATCAGCCTTTATAAATGTACAATCTGATGTGGATTTTCTTTAGTATTCCCCCCTGAACAATGACCCCTTTGGCTGCAGGGAGTGCTCAAAAATGTGTCTTTTTAGTACCTAGTATATGCTTGGTGCCTAGTATGCAGTCAGTTGATATGCATGTCGAATGAGTGAAGCAGTAAGTAATGTTAACAGGAAGCATTTTTTCATCATTGCAAATAGGGCTTAATGATACTAAAATGGACATTCTGTATCATAATGGGAATAAGTAAATGGTTTTGCTGATAGTATGCTATAAACTTTGTTTTGTTTTATGCATGAAAATGTTATGATTTTGCTGTTATTATGGTATAAACTTTATTCTTTATGCA